AGTGGGGCGATCGGGACTTGACAGGGGTGGATCTTGGATTTGTCGTATCTGTTCTGGTGCAGCAGCGACCGTAGTGTGGGGCGATCGGGACTTGCGAGGGGTGGACAGAGCAACGTCGGGATCGCATCGCTATGGAGGTGAGCGATTACAACTTCAGCAGTTGGCCGCGACATAGAGTGTTGGGTCACTGCGCGGGAAGAAGTGGGGCCGCGCGTGGCTCGTGCGGGCGGCGGAGCGTTGTCTCGCTCGCCGTCGCGCGGGGTCATCTCCGCGTGCTTGCGGGGCATGTTCCTGGCTGCAGCCCTAGGGTTGCCTCCCCTCTGCAATCTTATTGGCTTAGGGTAAGGCAAGGTGGGGGGAGGGGAGAGCGGTGGCAAGAGGAGGAGGCGGCGGACAGACCCAAGGAAGAAAAGAATGATGATGATGATGTATCTTCTACGCAAGGGGAATCGTCGCCGTCCGACGTGTCGGCCGCACACTCCTGCTGTCACTCACACTCACAGTCATCGCCGTCTCGTGTGCGACTGCTGTCGTCGTGGTCGCCCGGGTGGAGGAGAGCGCGTCGTGGCGCTTGTGCTGGGATGACCGCCGGGGATTGCACTTGTTACCGGGGGGGAGCCAAGGCCGAGCAGGGCCGCGTTAAAGCCAAATGGAAAGGCAGGCTGGGGGGTTCTTGGGAGGAGGAGGAGGAGGGGTCTTGGATGATGATCGTGGTCCCAGCTATGCTCGACGAAGACTTGGTTTATGTGTCGGACTCCGTTCAGGGAGAAGGAGGAGTTAATCTTCTTCTTCAGCAAGCAACGAACGTTCACGAACAAGTCCTGTCTATCATAGGAGCGTCCACCATGGCCCCATTGTATAGTGCTCAGATTCAAGGAAATAGGACTATGTATTGGGTGGCTAGTACGGGGTTACAGGTAAATGAGAGGGCAGAAAGAGAGACGGGCATTGGTGGTGTTTGTGGCGATGCTGTCATCGTACAAAAGCCGAACGCGAGCAAGCTGCAGGTGGCAAGCCCGAACGCGGGCAAGCTCCAGGTTCACAATGGTGTCCAGGTTCACAATGGTGTTTTGGGAGAGGAGGAACGAGTGGATGACCTTGAGAAGAGTCGAAGTCGAAGGCACAGTGAGAACGAGCAGGGCTTGGCACATGGATACGTCGGGGAACAAGATGATCTCAGTGGCATCGCGCTCAGAAAAGAAGCGCCCGTTGATCTTCTGCCGAACTGTGTGCTGCAGTTGGTCTTCTCCCATTTGGCATTCACAGACGTATGCAATGCTGCTGGCACTTGCAAGACCTGGCGTGCATGCATAGGAGATGCGCAAGAACTTCTCCTTTCACTCAACATTCGGCGGCGTGGTGGGTATGAGCTGCCAACCCCTCTCCTTGTGGGGATTGCTAGAAAAAACCGCAGTCGAATCTCAGCAGTGCCCAAGCTCGCTGCACACCCTCCTATCCCATTTGTGCTGGTCCGTGCTGCAGCGGCCGGGAACCTTAAGGCCATTGTGCTTTTTGCTGAAGAGATGGAGGCTTATGGCCTGCAAAGCGAGGCCCTGGAGTGGAGGAAAAAGGCAGCCAAGAAAGCTCATCAGGAGAGCCAGTATAAAGTTGGGGAGGCCTTCTACAGAGGGGAAGGAGGGTGTGCACGTGATGGGGAGGAAGCCCTGCTGTGGCTGCTACGAGCGGTTCGTAATCCCAGTCAGCAAGATCACCTCAGTGCTGCAGCTGCTCTTTTGCTTGGCTACATGCATCTTGATGGAGAGGGAGTGCCTCAGAACAACACCGAAGCTGTGCGATGGTTCCGACTAAGTGCAGAGTTGGGCAGCAGAGAAGCAGAGAAGGCGTTGGGATGGCTGTGGAACACTGGACAATACTGAGGGCATAACTCACACTCGGACTTTTTCCACTTCTCTGTGGACGTAGTTGCGGTTAGGTGCATCCAGGCCGATGGTTCCGACTAAGTGCAGGAGAGTTGGACTTTTTCCACTT